AAAAAAAAAGCTGTTCCTATCAAAAAGAAGCCATTACGACTTCATTCAAATATCAAAAGAGTTTCGTTAATTTATTATAACTTTCATTTTCTTTTCTTAAGTATTATGAATGTCTCTATTTCATATTTTTTTGAATTGGACCATCACAATTATTTATTTCACTGCTAAAAACTGATAATAATTTAAAAGTGCGCGAAATATTACGTTTGTTCTTCTCATTTTTTGTTATGAGTGTTAGTGGGAGTCATAAACGGCATTCACGTAACTCTTTTGTGTCAGTTCGCTATATACCAACTGATGAAGAAGAAGAACTTCATCGTCAAACTGAAGCACAAAATTTACGAGTCTCCTTACATCAAATTAAAAACATTGAAACAATTCTTAAGTAAGTTTTTTCGTACAATAGTGTATGCTCAAATAATAACGAACTAAAACTATAGTCTTGTCGAAAATTTTAATCGACATTTACATTTAACATTGATGGTTGATCGGTTTCATTCAAGTTATCAAGAATATTATTTAGCATTGTCACAAGCTTTAAGAGGTTAATTAAATAGTGAAAAACAAAAGATCATTTTAGTTTTTAGATATTCTTGCTAAAAATTGGATTCGTACACAGCAATTTTATCAAATGACAGGCAGTAAACGAGTATATTATCTTAGGTAGATTTGTTTCAAATATTTCATATTCAACAGAGTATTTCTTTTAAGTTTAGAGTTTTATATTGGACGATATATGAGAAATACATTGATTAATCTTGATATTAATGAACAAATGATACAAGCAGCTGAAGCACTTAATATTAAATTAAATGATATTGAAGAACTTGAAGATGATGCTGCATTAGGTAATGGTGGTCTTGGTCGTTTAGCAGCTTGTTTTCTTGATTCAATGGCTACATTGGGTATTCCATCCTATGGATATGGATTAAGATATCAATTTGGAATATTTAAACAACAAATTGTTGACGGGTAAATGAGAATTTATTGATAATCTGAAGTTGAAAATGTCATTTTTGGAAGATGAAAAATTTCTTTCTATCTAGTTGGCAAGTAGAAGTACCAGATGATTGGCTTCGACAACCAATGCCTTGGGAAGTAATTAATTGTTATCATTAATATGAATTAATTAATTGACTCGAAATAGATTCGACGAGTTCAAAATGAAATTCGTATTCATTTTTATGGAAAAGTTATTTGGAATGAATTCATTAATAACTTTCAATGGACTGACTATGAAACAGTAATTGCTCAAGGTAGATTATGGAAGAATCTTTTATTATAGTCATTCAAAAAAAAAAAGATTTGTCTAGCTTACGATTATCCTGTACCTGGTTATAAAAACAATGTGAGAATATGATGATGATCTTTCTTCTTATTAATAAAGAATTTTCTTCATCTACAGATTGTCAATACAATGCGTCTATTTTCTGCTAGAGCTGATTGTGATTTTAATTTTAAATCGTTCAATGAAGGTGAATACATACATGCAGTAATGGAACGTAACAAAGCTGAACGTAAAAAACTACTTTTGTGTTTACTTTTGACATATATCGTGATACACTTTATTTTTGAAAATAGGTATTACTTGTGTATTATATCCTAATGATAATATTGCTGAAGGACGTGAATTACGTTTAAAACAAGAATATTTCTTAATTGCTGCTAGTTTACATGATATTTTACGTCGATTTAAAAGTGAAAAACGTTGGCAAACATCATCAAATAAAGAAATAAAAAACAATACTTTACAATTACCAGAAGCAAAATCAAATCAAAAATCAGTTTCATCTATATTTGTTGATTTTAAATGTATGCACGACATGGTAAAAAGCAAAAAACAAAACAAAGAAACAATTTATTTTTACTTTTAATATTAAATATTATTTTCTGTTAGATAGCTATTCAATTAAATGATACTCATCCATCATTAGCTATACCTGAAATGATGCGTCTTCTTCTTGATAATGAACATTTATCATGGGATGATGCATGGTATATAACAGTCAATTGTTTTGCATATACAAATCATACATTAATGCCTGAAGCAATTGAACGATGGCCAGTTCAGATGATTGAAAGTTTGTTTACAACGAATAATATGCGATACAAAAGAAATGAAAGCATTATTGAGTAGTGTTTTCGATAAAATTAAAGCATTGAATTTTT